TAGAAAGAGAGAGAGAGAGAGAGGGGGGTAGAGAGAGAGAGAGGAGGGAGGGGGGAGAGAAAGAGAGGTGTTTGTTATTGTAATAAGAATTGTAGAATCTCATTGATTCCTGTCATTTTCTCTCTGAGTCGGTTCACAGGCTCAAAGCATCATCCATACGTGTATTTTCACGAGTCTCGATCTCTTTTTTACCTTCCCAAACACGCCGATGAAATGAACCGGGGGTCGGGGAACGCTGAACGACCTTGACTTTGAAAATACGTGCCCCTAACAATTCATAGGTGGGCGTATGCAACAATTTCCTTCTTTAAAAAAAAATTCTGAATCAGTTTTTTTAATTCCAAAGATATTTTAAATGCTTTTTGAGATAATGTAGGTTTTTTAAGACAAGGTAGAGAAAAGAAAGTTTTTTTTTCCTAAAGAAAAACAGCTTCAAAGTTAATTGATTTTGTGTTTTTCTAAAAAAAATAACACAAATTCTGCTATTGTGCTACTCTTCCTGAATTCACTTTTGTATTATTTAATGATATTCATAACAAAAAAATCGGTAATATAAATGCACAGTAGAGCATTTAAGTTGTGAAAATTCTGTAGAGAAGCAATACTATACCGATATGAATACATGAGAAATTAGGTCTATGTGCAGGTAGTGCTTTTCGACTGAAAGCAATTTATGTGTTCATGCACACAACAATTCATACTGAAGGGTAGGGTGGGTAAGGTAAGGCTGGAACTGTACGTATAGCTTTGATGTGGTTTGTGTAGGAATAAAACCAACCAGAGTGTGTCAAATGGTGACTCAGAGACAACATGGTTATTTTAGAAAGTCTTTTTTTTTCAAATTGTATCAATAGAAGGCATTCTTTAAATAAAGTATTTTTTACACACTACTTACAAAGTATAACTGAGCAAAATCCTTTTGGAATACAATTAGGAGTAGTTAAAGTGTTATTTACTTGTGAAACTACATATTATTTGACACGTGATTACTTTTACATTGTAGCCTTAAGCTCGAAATTCACTGTGGTGACATCCAGGCCCTTTTGTCAGGTGCACACAATTGCTTGTAATAACGCAAGATGGAAGAAAGAAAATGAATATACATGTATTTATTATATAAACTGACTGTCTTACTCAAGGTCCTTTTAATACAAGGGAATTCAAGGTCCTCAGGTGAATGCTTTCATCGTTTGATAGTTCACTCTAGCTTGCATGATTGAATGAAACCTATTACAAAAACATGTTGGTCTATTAGTTTGTGTCTTTTTTTAGCCATGCTAAATGCTATCGTGTCTGTCGACAAATTTGTACCTGTTTGCACCTTTTCACGACCCCCAATCTCTCTCTCTCTCTCTCTCTCTCTCTCTCTCTCTCTCTCTCTCTCCCGCCTTGTTGGTGGGTCGAGTCTTGTTTTTATAGTTGAAAAAAAACAAGTGTGTTGACCTTTAACCTGAGACCAAGTGAAGAAGCTTGATGGAACATGCGAGAGTTTTGTGAA